TGTGTGTGTGTGCGCACACACACATATAGATAGCTAGCTAGCTAGCTAGCTAGGTAGGTAGGTAGGTAGGTAGGTAGATAGATAGATAGATATATATACGTATATGTGTATGAGGGAGGGATGTATAGCGACCTGGGGTGTTACGTTTGACGTCAGCTGATACTGATTTCTGAAACATACTGCTAGTAGCTGTTGTGTATACAAGTACACGAGGAAATGACAGTTTTCCGACCCCAAACCGGTTATTGTATATAATGGTGCAACGTATACAGAGAGATAGAGATAGACAACTAAACCGATACACAAACGCATGAATAGGTGATTAAAGCAGTACAAGACATAGATGATTAACTCAAAACATCAGCAAGTCAATGTTTACATGGGTTACATAAGCATGTTCATACACACATGCATGAATGAATGGATGCATAAACAAATAAACAGATGCAAATATTAGCACGCACCTACGTACAACAGCTCGGTGTATCTATGTGTATGATCTGTATGTTTGTCTATTGTATGGGGACAGTTGTGCATACGCAGCATGTTACGCACATGTCGTAGAACCTCCAGATCCTGTTCTGCCTCCTTGCGTCAACCAGTCTCTCCATAGCCTTTCCTCGCCAAGGATCCGCAGATTGCGCGGCTGGGGGCCACGTCACATGGCGATGTGGGTGTTTTGTGCGGGTGAGTGTTGTTTTGAGAGGGATATGTGAGCGATGGAGACGGGCAATGGGGGCGCAGAGTAGTGATTGCAACATGTAGTACTACTTGCAGTTCGATCATGGCATAGCGGCAGCCATGGTAGTCCAAGCGCGGCTCCATCACATGCAACTGGTGTAATCCTGTGCATTGACAGAGGTGCAGAAGTTAAGGCCTATTCAACTCTGGGTGCTTCTGTTCAATGGAGGGTGGTGAGTTCAGGTTGCATGTTCAGTGAATCGTTCTCGGTTTTCCATGCTTGCTGCCATGGCTGCGCCAGACTCCTGCGAGGGATGTGCCATGCGCGTTTTGCGCCTGCCATGGGTATCATGGGTTTCGTGCTGCTGTGACGGTTCTTGGGCATATGTGAGTCATTTCAGCTTTCGATATTTCTCATCTTTGCAATGGGCGCCATGGATGCTTCACCGCCGCTGCACCGCCATGGGTGCAACGAGCGCTCGGGTTTCTGCCATGGCAACCTAAATATGTCGCGACGGCCATGGATGAGATGAGCGCCGCACATCCCCGGAAGAAGCCATGGAAACTGTCCAAGAACCCCTCAGACTCCAAGTTCCGTAGCAGACTGCCATGGCCCGGCCATGGCCTGGCCATGGCCTTCAGGGATACTGCATGATGCCATGGGTGCCCTGCATGCGCAACCAAGTCCATCATGATGAAACGAAGGATGAAGCGAACAAATCATTGCAGACATGCACGAAAATGCCATTCTACAGTTTTCGTCACACAGTGGTTAGTCAAAGCAACGATCTGCAGAGGTTTGTGTAGACTCGTGACAATGACGATGCCATGAAGTTGCCATGATACGCCCTTGCCATGAGGCCATGGGACCCACGGATGTTGCACGGCTGTGGCAGGAATTTGTCTTTAGGATCGGTAGTGCACCTAGGCAGTATCACCGTTTTCCTTATTATGATATCCATCACTGGAGGCCCTGAAGGTCAAAGGCAGGACCAGAATCCCGAGTCTCAGCACCCGACGATCAGTGTTGTGTGCATGTTGCATAAGGATGGACGAGAAGATAGACAAGCTCGAGGAGGGGCGGGGCTAGGCTTGCAGAGTTTAGGCCACAAGTGACCCAATGTCAGTGGGCTGAAGTATCTCTCAACTTTTGGTTCGGTAACTTTTCTGTAGCCGACGTTCTGCCTTTGAATAGATGTTGATCCCTGATAGTGCGTGTTCCATGTCTGGATGGATTTCGAGAACAGCCCGATGTCGTTCACCATCCCTGCCTGAAGGACCGGTTCCTGAGCGGCGCCGCTTGGCCATGGGCAGATTTGGAAGGGCTCAGCGGTTTTTAAGAGTCTTAGGGATCGGCCGAGTCACTTAACTTCTCACAGGTCGGGCTATTCGAGGAGCTTTAACACGAGGAATCATGCGGAACTTGGCCAGGCTACCACGAAGGGTCTCTGGAGAGCAGCGTCCTATGCAGCCAGATGCGGAACCCTGTGGAAGCTTGGGGGGTGTAGTGAGAAAAGTTGATCCGATCCTAGGAGCTCCAAAACCTGGTGGTCCCGTTGCCCTCTGCTCCAGTGGTGCCTGCGGCCTCGAAGGCCCGGCAGAGAATCTCAGAATTCTTTTTTTTGGAAGGTTTGGCAATTTCTTTATACAACAGTGGCTGCTTTCATGGCTTTGGCATCCGTAGGTTGTGCCACGGCAACCCTGCTGTCCAAGCTAAACCTCCGATTAAACGACGTCGTGCTGCAAGTACAGGGCAATCTCTTGCTGCTGCAGCTGAATCCTTGTCTACCCTCAAGCCTGCGCAAATCGTTCCGCCCGCATGCTTGCCTGTTGCCGCCCGCGAAAGACTGAGAGCGATCCTGCATGGCCCCAGCATCCTCGTACGGACACACCATGGTCACATCCTTTTCCTGCTTCAGTCCCTGATACGTCTCCACTGTCAAAGTCTCGTCCTCTGGTCGATTCTTCTGCAGGTCCACTTCTTGCAGGGCAAGCCATCGACACCTGCATGCATCTTTGCGCAGCCTGTGATCTGGGTCGAGCTTGCATCTGCGGGGTCCGTGTCGGACCAGTGGGTTACCAGGGCGTGACAGGGCGTGTTCTTTCGTCTACAGCCCGCGCTTGTGCCCTGGCTGGTTCTTGCAGCTCACTTGGCTCGATCCTCATATCAAGGGCTCGCCAAGCTTCACACACATTCGATGTAGCAGAGCCAATCTGAAAGAACCCTCTGAAAGAACCAAAAAAGAGAATCTGCCGATGGACTCTTCCGGCGATGCGCCAGCGCTCTGCCTCCAGTTGGAGCTGAGCCGGGAGGCCACGGGAGCCGAGCCGAGTCGGAGTAGAGTCTTCTCTTTGTCTTCCTGTGGGGTCCGCTGCCAGGCTTTCGAGGCGGATGAAGCGGCGCGGGCGGAGGCCCTCATGCGCGAGGTGGGGCTTTTGGATGAACCAAACCTCTCCGAGCCCGTGCCCGAAGTGAATGCGGCGGAGTCCGACCTCGTGAAGCAGGCGGAGCGCTTCCTCCTGCCCTTTGCTACAGATGCCAGCATGCCCAGTCAGACCAGCACAACTTCTCCGAATCCTTCGCACGTGACAGCTCCTGGCCAACTTCCAGCGCCACTTCTACTGGACATCCCAGCACCACAGTCGCCAAGCTCTCCTTTGATAGACGGAGAGCTACCGCTGTCGCCACAGGAGCCAGGCCAAGCGGAGGATGCTGGCCAGGAACCGTCCTTTGACGTGGTTCCGCCGCTCGAGCTCAGACCGCCTGCATCTGGTCAGCCTGCTGCCGAGGCAGCGATGCAAGAGTCTTCGCAGGAGTCCCCGGATGGCCGTTCGCCGCCGGAGCTACAGAGAGTCCATCCTGCGCCTCTGAAGGCCAAGGCTCAGCCACAGGCCAAGACACAGATTCTCCATCCTGCAGAGGCCCGGCGAAAGCTAAAGGATAAGGCTTGAAGATGAAAGGGTGACTGCTAGGAAATGCTACTGTAGGACTAGGACTAGGAACAGTGTGGAACAGGTTCTGAGTAGGGCATGACATCGGCTTAGCGTCCAGACTGGGGCTGTGCGTTTCAGAACCGGGCGTGGCTCCAGACCGTGACAGCTGGAGCATCGAAGCTTTTTATGTATCGCGCGTCGCAGTGCATTGAAGCGACTGTTTACGGCACGCTGCGACTCAACACACGTGGCTCGTTGCCATCGGTATTCGTGTCACATAGCAACATGCTTGCACCATTGTCAGTGTCAACATGCAAAATCGCTCGGTTCGGCTTGTGAATCAAACCACATCCGAGAGAATCGACGCCGGGCACGTAGATTTCGGCAGCACACCAACAACAACTGTCTCCTGCCTAAAGAATCGACGGCGCTGATATGCAGTGAGGTTTTTGAGGCATCCGGCGTTGAGACAGGCATGTGGCATCGGCAAGTGTTCCCACAAAAATAGGTTTTCGGATCTCTTTTGTGTATTCTTGCTCCTGACGTATCGTTCTCAACCACGCCCAGCACTAATGGCCACGAGATCGGCACACCTTTTCTTTTTCACTCCTTGCAACATGCTTCCGAGAAGGAGGCGGACGCAGCTCTCTTGCTCCTGCCCCCTGCTGAGCGCAAGCGGAGGCGGATTGAATTGCTGACGCAGGCCCGGGTGTGGGGCTTGTGTGGCTCGCGTGGGCTGTGCTTTTTGGGTGCTTATGTGGCGAAGGTCGGTGAGGGACTTTGGTGATCGCTCAGCCCATTCTTGTCTTGCTTCTTGATGGAGGCCGAAGATGAGGCGTTGATGAAGCGGCAGCTTCAGGAGAAGATGGTGCCCGTGCTCGCAGTTAGAAGCAGATTGACAGGAAGGTTCACAGAAACGTTGGGAAAATGCCATGGGATCTGTTGAAGCTTTTATTTCGCGCAAATTCTTGCGGCGAGAGGCATGCCTGGCGCAGGCAGCTCGTGGTCACTCCGCTGCATATCAGAGTCGAGTGTAGTGTCTCATTCTCCGGCTTGACCCTTTGTAGAGAAGGGGATAATGCCTGTTCTGTCGTATCGCTGCGGGCTTGAGGCATTATTCCAAGTGCTACGGTTCTAAAGGTGCTTGCTCGCCTGCTCAGAAGATTTTATGGACGCTTGGAGGTCTTTGAGAGCTTTCACAAAGAGCCGGGCCCTACACCCTGAAGGTTGTGAAATAGTGTAAGCCTTAGCACAGCTCCTCGAGCCTTGGGTACACGAGGTGAAATGCCAGAAGGGCACCTGGAATTGCCATTTGCTGGACCCGACATTCAGTGGGACGAGGCTGCCTAACCCTCAACCCTTAAGCGAGCATCATTTCGTGTGGATTGAGGGGTGCCTTCCTGCCTTGTGTTCTGCCTTCGTTTCGCGGGGTGTGCGATAACATTTTGTATTGTGCCAGATTATGTCTCTGACTCTTTCGGTGGGGGGTGCAGGATGGGGGCAATGTAAGTGCCCTCGACTTTCCACTCCCACCGATTAAATCCTGCACCCTGCAGTTGTAGAACCTGGCGGTGCCCTAGCAATGTCTTCAACAGTCCTGAGATGCTTCAAGTCCCTCCGTTGTAAGACACAGTACAACAAACCCAGTGAGTCCTCAGATTCAGATTGCATCGAGTCTTCGGTGGAGCTGATTGCAGACATGTCTCTCTGTGCAACATGCAACTAGAGTCTGATGAGGTGGGTTGCTGCAGATGCAATTGTTGCCAGTCGAAACCCGCAAGTGGAGGAGCCATCTCATTACGCGACAGACGGCGCCGTTAGAGACCTTGTGGACAGCATCGAGCAAGAGGAACCGAGGCGACTGCATTGCAAACTCTCATACATGTGATCTACGACTCATTGTCCATGGCTGGCTGGCTGGCTGGCACGTACGCATCCACACATGCTCAAGTCGGGGATAGTTCTGAAGCCCGAAAGCTCCCCTCCCACTCCGCAGGGAAGACGAGCAAAGCCGGCTGCTCTCAGAACTGAAGGCACAGAACCAGGGCTTGAGTCCTAAGGGCCTGGGGTGCTGAAGGGGTTTGGGGTTTGCAACTCCATGAGTTGTTCTACGATGTTGACAGAGCCGTGTTGCATCTCCGGGCTTTGAGGCCTGTAGTGCTAGTGGCGATCATGCCGCCGGGTAGCAACGTCGCCATGGCTTTCGCCGTGGCGGCATACCGTTGGGCGGATCACCGCCGAGCGGCTCGTGCGGTGGCCGCCGCGGTGCTTCTTATGCTTGCGCGCCGCTGGTAGGGCATGCAACGATGATTGTATGGTGTCCACCGCATCACGCTTCCATTGAAGACTTTGCTTCCCCAACAGCGGCACCGGAGACACCAGCGTGTCAGGGCAATGATTGTGGCGCCGACGAAGTGAAACCCGAGGGCGCAGAAGTCGTATCCGTGATCCCCCAGAGCACGGAATTCCGGGTCGGGGATTACATCACTTACCCTGACGACCACCGCAGCCAGATCATTGGTATCGACGGAGACGGAGACGTGATTGTTCGGGCTACCGACGGCCGCAAGGCTGTTTGGTGAATCAAAATATGCACCAAAGCCCTCAGCACGGGGATGCGCGGGGGACAGAGTGCAATACCCTTGTGGAGAAGTGGGCTCCGTGATGGCGTTCGATGAAGACGGGGATCTGCATGTGCGAAAAGCAGACGGATCCAGCGCACGCTGATTTGCCCAAAAGTCGACAAGACGTCTCAGCGTCGGAGATGCAGTAAAGTAGTCGGGCGGCGGCGTGGCAACCGTCATCGGCTTTGATGCAGACGGGGACGTGATGATGGTTACACCAGGTGGACACAGGGCCACCTGGTTCGCGAG